CGCATTCCCTAGATAGCATGCCTCTGATTGAAACCTCATTATATTTGTCAGTCATGTTCCAAGCAGGGTTATAGAATCTAACTGGTATTTCACACTGTGGCTTTTTCTAGCTCAAGAGTTGGCTCTGATTCATGGAGACCTTATGTCTAACACATAGTTGAAACACTGGTCTGGCTCCATCCTCTTGCTTATGGGTATGTCTGAACCCACTGTTGCAGCTATTGTGTCAATTCATCCCGGGGTGGATTTCACTGACCTTCTACTTTACCAAGCAACTGGTCTTTCCTGTTGAAATATCTAAAGTAAGCAAGATGAAATGTCACCATCCTAGATTCCAAGGCATTTTCTAGCTGTAATTTCTTCAAAACTACTGTGTTCATTCTTGGGAAAATGCACAGTATAGTCAATATATACCTATGTGGCAGTTTGTTGTGCTGTAGTAACTTGAGAATTGCTATGCTGCTGGAAACTATGGATTGTAACTTTCAAATGTATCAGAGTCACTCACAGTGGACAGGTCTCAGTGGAACGTCCAGGTTAAAACTAGGAGGAAGTGTCTGTTAGTTTACCTAAAGTTAGCCACTAAACATCTTATGAATAGCACTGTTTCCTATTCCTCACTGATTTTCTCCTACCAGCCCAAATTCCTGATTGCATAGTGGGATAAGTGCTGACGCCACAATGACTCGATGCCAGTGGGTTTTTGTTTTTGCTTTCATCAACCAATAGTCTTAGGCCTAGTAGAGTTTACATCCCAAACTCCTCCTTTCCTTAAATGATTACTTAAAGTAGTACACCATATGAATACAATTAACTAAACTCAGAGCAAGGAAAATCTAGAGCAAGAAAAAAGGGGTGGAGAGACGCTTATGGATGAAAAGATACATCTTTAAAAAATTAGTTTAAGACACTTTTGTGTATTTTACATCCACCCTTCTTTCAGTTTTCTAAGAGACTGTGAAAGCACAGAATTAGACTATTCAGTGATGTTCTGACCCACTCAGTGACCTGAGCAGTAAGGATTGCATATCATCAGCCTTGTACCTTTTTAGATTCTGATTCAAACACTAAGTATGGAATAACATTTATGAGATAATTTTGTATTAATGAATTTTGTTTATTTTCTTAGAATGTGAATATCTGGGTTTAAAAAATATTTTTACTTAGTGACACTAAAATGTAATTGGGTCCCTGTTTTTGGAAAAAATTAAGACAAAACAAAGACCAAGAAAAAAAATATCTTCAAATTATAGCGCTTTCTTTTCTTTACCTGTAGGTCAGGTTCACAGGAATGTACTCCATAGGAATAATACCTGTTATTTTCTGTCTTTAACCAAATGTATATAACATAACAAAACATTGCTCACATCAGTGTCCACCTTACAAAGGTTGGCATTTTATTGCAATTAGTGTGTAAGTCTTTCTGATGGTTAGTCTCCCTTGTTATTATTTTATCATCATGACTATTTTTTTTAATTTATTTTAATGAACATTTACAGAGATTTTGGATTTCTATTCATTCATCGTTGCATTTTTCTTCCTGCCCACCCTTCCCGCCCCCTCCATTTGCTCTTCTCTTTGAAAAGTAAAAGAAAAATTCCTTCATTGGTAAACAATACCCCTGCCACCTCCCCGCCCCCCTGTATACTCCACTATGCAACCTTCATTCTGGACTCTTGTCATAACCTTAATACTCAATCATATATAGTTTTAACAAATTATTCACATCAGAAGCAACTAATGCTATCTACTTTCTCCAAACCTCTTTTAAAGCACTTTAGAAGTCTAACATCATGTGATCACATGATGGAACATGCTGACGAGCTCAGATTTATACAAAGCCCTCAGAAAATACAGATTACTTTAGAGGTTCTGAGAAGCAGATGTACTGATCTTCTTGGCATTCACATAATTCAGCTACAAATAGAATTTGAACAGATTCCAAATCACAACTGTCAAATTTGGAAAAAGTAGCAAAAATGTCAAGTGAAAGTTTAGGCTTAGCTTTGAATAGTATTGGCTGTTGTCCGAAAATCAGAAACGTACTCTGGTAATGTCTTTTTCTTCTTCAGCTCTAACACTTGAAAAGAGCTAAGTATATTTACTTCCATTTTACGCGTAGATATTCCCACTGGATCAGAAATGATAAGTGAATAACTTTGAAGTGTTGATTTTACTATAAAGTCCAAAGTAAATCTCAACATTAATTCAAGCTATATTAAAAAGTCCATTAAGGATTTCCTAGGCCATTGTCCTTGATCTTGCCACATGGCTTGGAGGGAACATGCAAATAGGGTATGCTGGCCTACCCTATTAGTTAGTTTTGTCATTTCACTAGGTTTAAATTGAGCGGGCTTAGCAGCAGAAATTTTGAAATCTCACTACAGGCAAAAAATAAGTAGAGAATGTAGCATGCATGCTTTGAGACCAGAGTTTCCTGCACCAGTGAGACCAGGGTTTACAGCTCCTGAGATCCAACATGAGCAAGAACTGGCCTGGAAGAAGAGCTAAGAGCCTTTATCCACACTTTCTGTTAGACTGGGGAAAGGGGAAGAGATACCATACATAATTATCAAGACTAAGAAAGCTTTGTAACACTGGCTTAAAGTTGCAAAGTTGAAGCCTGAAAAGTCTTCAAAGTACACTTCAGAAGCTGTCCTGACTGAGAAATTGTATCCACCAACCTGAATTGTAACCTGCTGACTTTTTTTTTTTTTACCTGCTGACTTTTTAAAAAAAACCTCATAATGTGTGTGTGTGTGTGTGTGTGTGTTTCATTAATATTAAATGGTCCCACTGAAGAAGTATAAAGCAGAAAAAAGGGGTTGAGCTCCACTTATAAAGCCAAAAAGACTGATTCTAATCCTCACCCTGTAATTTACCTACATGAACTCCTCCTCATCTTTTTTCCACAAATAAAGACATTTTCACCTACTTTATAAGAATTTAAAAGCTAAAAATGACAAATGGTTATTATCTTTTGAGAATGTTATATTTTACTAAATATTACTATTTTTAGTACACTTAACTAGAAGAAAATTTACACAGAGACCCCATACTGTACTACTTTCTATTGATACCAAAGCTTTTCCAGTAACTAGACTTGTTCAGAGAATTTAAAAAGACATATAACAAATAGACCTTGAGCTATATAGGCAAATGTATTTGAGAAATCATATTTACAACTTTTGATGCAAACGTCAGAAGCTTATATGTGATCTGAAAATGAAAGCCACTTCCTTAGTCTTAGTACCTGGGAGTCAAATTCAAATTTAGGCTTATGTTTTAGGTAGCTCAAGCTTCACCCAGACTTCTTACATTACTTGGAATCAATACTGCAAAATAATCCTTCTTGCCACATTTATTTCTTACGTTAAAAAATTCATAGGAAAATAAAACTTAATAATATGCACAATTCAGTGTACGTGTAAATTACATCTTCTTCTTCTGCCTTCACAATGTAACTTAGCAACTAAGTATATCTTAACTTATTCATGTCACACTAACATTTTTTCCTATGACTTTAAATAGGTATTCTGAGAGCCTCTTGTCGGGACCACTCTTGATCATCTTCTGCATTATCTCTGGGACAAAACCTACTTAGTCAAACATCTTAATGATGTCAGAGAAGGTGCAAGTAGTTTTAGAATAGAAACTCCCATAATTCATCATTCAAGTGTTTCCTGAAGTAGGCTAGATGTTACAATAAATTGATTCTTCATTTTTTCCCAACCCACAGTCCATATTATACACAACCTTATAACAAAGACAGGCAATGACTCATTCATGAGACTTCCACATTGTTTCCACAAGACAAGACTTTATTTAACTCCTCCTGAGTCCTGACAGAGCTCAAGTCAGGTTGACTTAACTATAACCCAGTGATGGGCTCTATCTCTCCCACCCGTAGCAGACACTGCCAACAGAACAAGACATTTGTCCGTTTACAGATCAATGTCCAAATTTAGATCCAATGAAGACCCATTATTGTATCTGGGGTTTAATTATGCATTGTCTAATCTGTTGTTGTTTTGTACCATTGAGTCAGAACTGACCCATAGCTGACCTTCCGGCAGGTTTTCTGAGGAAGTAAATCACACAGGAGAAGATTGCCCAATCTTCACTGGTGGATTCAAACCACTAGCCTTTGGGATTGCAGCGCAGCCTCTTACCACAAGGCCTCCAGAGCTCCTTTTATAGAACAATTCTTGTGTCCACTCCACCTTCACCCTCATACAAACTTCTTTTCGTAATGTGACTTGTTAAATAGACCAGACTAGTATATGGTGAAATGTCTCATTTTCTGGATTCATCTACCTCATATTTCTTGACTTATCAGTTTGCCTTTCCCTAAAATTTCTTGTTATCTAGAACATACATCCTGCACAGTAGAAACCATGTATTCAGGTTAAGCATTTGGGTATTAGATATGGATATATGATGTGGTAGTTGTTTTGTTTTATTTTGCATTTTCAGTTATTATTAAGTACTCTTGAGTTAGTTTTGACACAGAGAAATCTTGTGTACAACAGAAGGAAACACCACATGGTCCTGCACATGTTTGTGATTCAGAGTCCTTTCTCCCCGTAGCAAGAGTGACAGAGTGGGAGACCAAATTTATCATACATACAAGGAGTTTATTTAAAAGAGTAAGTAATTTGGGCAGAGTACCTAGAATTTTCCCACCAGAAAGATACTATTTCACCACAAGCCACCCCATGGCCAATTTCTAATACACTAGTCCCTGCCAAAATAGTCCAGCAAATAGTTCAAGAAACAGAACTATAGCAGATGATACTATCTTGCTTGCAGAAAGTGAAGAAGAAACACGTACAGTAGAAGAGCCAAATTACGATTTTCAATAAGAATTCTATCTAAGCATCAAGAAAACAAAAATTCTCATCACTGGACCAATAGGCACCATCATGGTAGATGGAGAGAAGACTGAAATTGTCAATGATTTCATTTTACTTGGATCCACCATTCAACATCCATGATAGCAACTGTCAAGAAATCAAGCACTTGTGGCTGGAGTTCAGCCATCCTGTGGAAAGCCTGGCACTGACTGTGGAGGAGGTGATGGACGTGCGCCGTGTGCTGGTAAAGGCTGAGATGGAGAAGTTCCTGCAGAACAAAGAGCTCTACAACAACCTGAAGAAGGGGAAGATATGCTGCTGCTGTCGGATCAAGTTCCCACTCTTCTCCTGGCCACAAACCTGTCTTTTTTGTAAGAGAGCTGTCTGCTCTTCGTGTAGTGTCAAGATGAAGATGCCATCTAAGAAGCTGGCCCATATCCCTGTGTACACACTGGGCTTTGAGAGTCTTCCCAGGGCTTCAAGTGCCACAGCCACAGCCACACAGAGAAAAGACATCTTCCAGTCCCTGCAGGGGCCCCAGTGGCGGGGCGTGGAGGAGGAATTCCCTCACATCTATGCCCATGGCTGCCTCCTGAGGGGCGTCTGCAGTGACTGCACCAGCTTCGTGGCGGAGGTGGTCCGCTCCAGCCGCAAGAGCGTGGATGTCCTCAACACCACGCCGCGCCGTGCCCGCCAAACCCAGTCCCTCTACATCCTTTCCGCCAGGACTCTGGACTTGTAGTGATGGCCTCGTGGGGCACAGCGGCCCCACCCCAGCTGTGCATGTACATATGTACATATATAGACACATTTATATAATATATACACAGCCTCTATATTTATATGCAGATTCCAGGACCCTCCCTGAGGGAGGCCCGTTCCTCTCAGGATCCCTTGATAAGGTCTGGGGCCGCACATCCTGGGTAGAGTGCAGGTATTTGGGAACTCAGGTGAGACCCCACCACACTCCTCTCTCTTGGCTTTCCCCATCCTT